GGAATTGAACCTATGGCCTTGTGCATGGTAGGCAAGCACTACTACTGAGCTACATTCCCAATCAAGGAAGACTTTTAATTAAAAATCAAATTGGACCTTGCCTGATAGTGCATACCTGTCATCCAAACAATCAGGAGGTAGAGGCCAGAGAATTATGAGTTGGAAAAAGGCAAAAAATTTTAAAATATAAAATTCTACATTCTAACTTTCTAATAAGTATGCCGTGTGTATTCATTTACCATATTCATTTATACTGAGATTAGTTATAATGATTAAAGTAATATCTTTGCCTACATTTGCCAAATGGTTAACTATATATTAAATGCTGGAATTTTGTTTAAAAGTTTTTACATTCTTAATGAAAATGATTTGAAATTTTCCCTCTTTATCTCTAAAACAGAGTTTTAATAGAAAAGGATTGATTTAAAAGTTAAACAGGTTTTTTTTTTTTCTGCAAATGTAATGCTCGTTTTTTGATGGTAGTTCCACTGTGATTGCATTTCATTTGCTTCCTACTGAAGAAGCGCTTGGTGCACTTGCAGAGAGCATAAGGAGTCATGTCAGAGGTCAGCTATTTGAGTCCATTTTCCCACAGCTGCCTGGTGTGAGTGATCTTTTACTGTGTTTCAAAAAAATGGGCAAGGATTAGAGAGGATTAGAAAGAATATTACCCTCCTGAACATAGGCCCAAAGCACTAAGGAGAGAGAACCCAACCAGGCAGCAAATGGGCTTTTCTTGACCAGGACACAACCTCTACTGCATTCTTTTTAGGAAACTGAATGGGAAACACTAAGTCCCCAAACTGAATTAGTAAATAATCTCATAGTTTGTGACATCTGTTAAAATAGATGAGTAGACTACATTCTTCCACTTTGAGGACAGAGCCAGAAACATTAAGAGTAATTAAAGATGGGCTTTATGCTTGGTAACGCATAGAGAGGCACAGTTCATAAATTAAGAAAAAAATATTATTTTAGATGTGTTAATACAAGTATATAATACTAATTACATAGGTTTATATTTTGAAACTCTTACAGCTTTCTATTTTTAAGATTCTCCCTGGAGTCTTACTGCTTATAAGCAACCTTTCACTTTACAACTTCAACTCTTTATGTTCTTTACAATTTAAACGCTTTCAAATATGGGAGTATGTCTTTTGAGATATCTTCTGGAATCTTTCTCTTTTTACATTTTCTAATCCAAGTACAACTTGAACTTTAGGACACATAATTTAGTATCAAATTGCTTATACTCAAAGAGGTTATTCCACACCTGTTCTAGAAGGGAAATGCATTTTGACCTCAGATTTTTAGATGTATTTAACTATTTTTTAAAAGTTTTGTTTAAAGTCAACTAGTTAATAGTAGATATAATATACCAGTAGTTAATTGATTAATGTGATAACTATGATTATACTATGTTTAGTTTTTGTTTTTTGTTTTTTTTGATGTGAAGATTGGGGTCAGGACCTTGAACATGCTGAGTGAGTGTTCTACCACTGAGCCACATTCACACCCCACTGCTTTTGCTATGGATTGTATCAGAATGAAAGTTTTCTCCAAGTTTTCAAGATAATCTTGGCATGATAGTGCAGTATAATCTTATCCCTCAAGAGGCTGAGGAGGAGCACAAGTTTGAAGCTAATTAACCTTAGGGCTGTATAGTGAAAATCTGTCTCTGAATGAATGAATGAACAGTATGACATAAAATTTGGTTTCATATGTGAAAAAGAATTTATAATGAGCGCATTTACCCATCCCTTAAGTGTATGCTTTCTTGGTGCAGTGCCTTTGCTTTGAACACTGTTCTCTGTCTCAGCATCCACTCACCCCCAGTGTCCTCATCCATATTCTGTCATCTTTAAACAGCAATTCAAGTCTCATCAATGCTTTATTTCTAGTCCTTATTTTGTAATACTTCAAAATATTGTTATATATCTCAACATTTCTACTCTAAAGTATTTTACCCAAGAGATATGAAAACATGCATTTATACCAAAACTTGTACATGAATATTTGTTAACATTGTTATTTGGTTTTACTTTTGGGGTTTTGTTTACTTAATTTTTTTGAGAATTTCACGTATGAGTACTGTATTTATATCATTTCTATTCCTCCTTCTACCCTTCCAACCCTTCCCGCATACCCCACTGCTCCCTCATGACTTCTTTTATAAGCAAGACTCTGCCTTGATATACAAAGTAGAAAGTTATGGAGGAAGACACCTGACCTCAATCTTTGGCCTCCAGATGTACCTGCATACATGTGTATCGTTATTGTTAAGTAAACACACACACACACACACACACACACACACACACACGTATGTGTATATACAACCTATGGAGTCCATTTAGTGTTGCTCATCTATACTTGTGTTTGGGGGTCATCCCTGGAGAAAACTAATTCTCTGTTGATTTCCTGCAGCTCTTCATCTAGAAGTGGTGCCTTATGAATTTCCCCCCATCCACACTGGCATGTCCACTGGTGTTGTCATTATGCAGATCTTGTTTAGGCAACCATATTGAGATTTCATGCACACAACTTCCCAGTCATGTCTAGAAGACTCTGTCTAGCAGCAGGCATCCTGGTCCTCTGGCTCTTACAGTCTTTCTGCCCCCTCTTCCAAGATGTTCCTCAGGCCTTAGGTGTGGGGCTTGCATCGTAGATGTACCAATTGAGGCTGGGCACCCATGGTCACTTATTCTCTGCATTTTGATCAGTTGTGGCTCTCTGTAATTGTTTCCTATAGGAAGAAGCTTCTTTGATGAGGAGTGAGAGTTGTACTTATCTGTGGGTATGAGGATAAGTATTTAGAATACAGTTAGAAATTATATTGGTTTAGGAAAATGCCAGTAGTAGGTTCTCCTCTAGGGTCTATGACCTCTCCAGCCATGGGAAGTTAGCTAGGTTTGCAGTACCAGGAATGAATTCCTTCCTATTGAGTGGACCTTAAGTCCAATTAGATAGCTGTTGGTTACCCCCAAGAAGAAGTGCTACTATTGCACCATTGGGAATTTCATATTGGTCTGGTCATTGTTGTAGTCTGTAGACTTTACAGCTGAGTAGGACTGTTGTTTGCTTTATCCCTTGATAGCGTACATAACACCTTCAGGTATTCTGAGAGCTACTCCTCAGGGAGGAGGCTTCCAGGTCAGTTCCAGCTCCATTACTCCAAGCCCTGTGTCTGAAGTATGTGGTGTCTTCAGCAATAGGGTCTTATCTTCAAGTTCTGGGAGGCAACCAAGAGCTATAACAATAGCCTATATTGTTTTGGCAGTCTCGTGGATCCCCCCATCCTAACAACTTGAAGGGAGGTGTCCCATGCCTGGAGCTGAGATTTCCATTAGATAATCTGTGACTTGTAGGGTGTGTGTGTGTGTGTGTGTGTGTGTGTGTGTGTGTGTGTGTGTGTTGGGTTTTTTTTTTTTGTTTTTTTTTTGAGTCAGGGTCTCATGTGTGCTACTCTGGCCTTGAACTTGCAGTGCATCCAAGGATGACTTTGAACTTCTGATCTTCCTGCCTCCACTTCCCAGGTGCTAGGATTACAGATGTGCGTCACCATGCTTGTTTTATATAGTGCTGAGGATGGAACCCAGGGCTCCATGCATACTAGGCAAGCACTCTGCCATCGCAGCTACATCCCCAGCCAGCATTATTTATAAAATTCAGAAAGTGAAAACAACTACATATCTAGCAACTAATGGATGGATAGGTAAACATAGTATGTCTATGATGGAATATTATTTGACTATAAAAAGGAATGAGATACCAATATGTGCTGTGACCTAGATGAATCTTGAAAATGTGCTAAGTAAAACAAACCGGTCACAAATTATCATATATCATCATATTATACATTAATTTATACTATGGTAGTATTATGTTATTCTTTTTGCATGTAATATTCAGAACAGGTGAAATTATAGAGATGGAAAATAGGTTAATACTTACTTAGTGGGATTGGGAAAATGCGTGAGTGCACAGTGACACCAAGGCTGCAGTGTCCCCTTCTGACATGATGATAGCATTTCAAATCAGCAGTGGGGGTAGATGCATATATCTTTGATACAATAAAAATTCATTGAGTTCTATGCTTCAAATAGTCAAATTCTATTGTATGTGAATTCTATCTCAACAAAGCTTTTTAAAAAATATTTTACTTATTTTTATTTTATGTGTATGTGTGTATTTCCTGCATGTAGGTAAGTGCACCCATTTCGTGCAATGCCCGCAGAGAACAGAAGAGGCTGTCAGATCCCCTGAAACTGCAGTTGCCAGCAGCTCTTAGCTGCCATGTAGGTGCTGGGATTCGAACCCGAGTCTTCTGCAAGAACCAGTGTTCTTAACCCTTGAGCCATCTCTCCAGCCCAACAAAGCTGTTTTAAAAAACAAATGAAATTAGTATTTCATGCCCATGTCTCTATGCATATTGTTTGTACTTTTCTTAGGTTCCCGTCACAGTCTAATTATAATTATTTCTTAAGAAGTCTGCCTTTCTTACCCTGTTATGGAGCTTCACAGGACAGGAAGGGTGTTTTGGGTATTCCCTAGCAGGCATATTGCTTTGTACTTAATAAGTATTAATTGGTCTTTTCCCTCAGTTAAGTTTTTCACCCATAAAATGGGAATAAAAGCAGAATTGAACAGTGACACAAAGTGTTTTTGAAAAACTATGTTTTATGATTTTACATTTAAATCTTTTTTTGGTAAATAAATATTTACTTTCACATTACTCCCTTGATTTGAGTTTCTATTTTTTATTTAGCAAGGTTCTATAAGCCAATTGTCACTTTATTTTTACCTACAGGGATACTCTGCAGAGATTTGCAAGTACAATAAGCATTTAAACACATGCTTTCAGTAGGAGTTCCATGTCATCTCACCTGGTTTAATGTGTGTGGCTTTTTAATTAACTGTAATATTTGAATATATGTTTTTGTGGATGTTTGAGTTTGTAAGGCAACTTTTTTTCTATTGTGTATTTGTTATTGTTGCAGTATTTACTAGAGATGAAAAGCTTAATCTTACCTCCTGAACACATTCTGAAGCGAGGCGATAGTGAAGCAATTGCTTACGCTTTCTTTCATCTTCAGCACTGGAAGCGAATAGAGGGTGCTCTCAATCTCCTGCAGTGTACGTGGGAAGGCAGTAAGTATTCTGCCAGATGCAGTGCTGATCTCTCTCTCCATTGCATTCACAACAATCTTTTTTTTAAAAAATATTTTATTTATTATTTTTATTTTATGTGTATA